AGAATATCTCTTTGGATTTGAGACTTTAGTCTTTGCAACTTTACAGATCTTCTTTATGCACCAAGAGCTTGTAACACTCCAAAGAGAAAGGAAAAATTGAAATCGCATCATATGACCCCTTTAAATGTATTGATATCGATACTGTGTGAAATCACATTGTCAGTGTTGTGTTTTTATTTTTATGCCTGTTGTATTGCACTTGAGCTTTTATTTATGAAAAGTGCTATAAAAATCATGTTTATTATTATTATTATTAATTTCTTTCACAATCATTTCTTTATATAGAGGAAATAATATAACATTTGTATATTGACCAGTTTATACACCGGTTGTCTGCAATAGCATCAAAATAATTAACAGCTTATTGTATCAGTCATAATTGGCCGTATATCGTTCCAAATATCATTCATCCACAGTAATGTTATCAGTTTATAATTCTGTGAAGGTTGTGGGACTGGTAACCAGGAAGGATCTAGCCCGCTATCATTTGGGTAAAGATGGTCTGGAGGAGCTTCACCTGGCTCAGACATGATTGGTCATCATTGTTCACCCTGGACCCTGCCTTCAGAGCACCAACTCAGGGGCTGGTCAGAGTCTCTCTCATGTCAAAGATGCCAAACACAAACCTGCAACATGCACAAGTTGTCTGACGTTCAGTATTTTAAGGGCTTGATTATTTGAAAAATACATTTTTGCTCCTTTATCACACCGTTAGTTATGCATTTATTTTTGCCTGTAGAAATACAGCGGATGAGCACATTATGTTAGTTTTGCACAATGAGACTGTTTGTTTATTACAATTATAATATTTTAGAGTAGATGAGCTTTTCAGGAGCCCTCACTTTTCGTGCCTCTCCAAAAGCACCATTTTGTGTCACCTTCCATGTTTATCATGGCTAGTTATCATTTGAGATGTGTACATCCCTGTGTATTGCCATGCCAGTGATAATGTATATTGACATAATGTGTCAGTATGCGTTTTTTATTTTTCATTTTCAGCAAGGCTGTGGTTTTGAATACTTACTTGCTAATGCTTAACAGGTTCTAGTGTTGTTAGCTCAGAGTAAGCTATTCATTATAAATATGCAGGACAATTCAAGCAAGTTTGCTGATATGGAATAAAATAGGTTCTTCTCATTAAGAAACCTGTTGGAGATGTGCACTTCATACAGACTACTACGTATATTGTTACAGATATGCAAATATGGTTCATTACATTTTTGTTTACCTCATGCCGTTTTAGGATTTTTAAATGTTTCTGTCTTCATTTATCAATTTAATTGGTATTAAATCTGTTAGGGTGGATCAGGCCCTAAAATTAAATGCATAAATCCTATTTTTCACAAGCCTCTTGGCACTGGCAAGATTTGGTACGAGTTTAAAACTATAGCTGGAGGTTTTATGGAGTACATTTCGTGAGGGTAGTTCGTGTCTACACAATGTGAATTTTCTGCCTCGAGCTGCATTTGTTTTCTGTGAAAATCTATACTTGAAAATGAACATATAAATCACAGTATTGAGCAGTGAAAGATGATTATGCTAAAATAATTTCCAAGCGGTGATTGCAACAAACATTATTTAACTGAACATCAGATGAAGCGTATTAACACGACATCCTGTTTTGTTTGTGTGCTATAAAGTTTGACTCTATGCTTCATTGTTTAAAGCCAACATTATTTGTTTGTATTGATTAATGATTTTCTCTATGCTGATCTCTACTTTTTATATGGTTGTTGATTTGAAGTAAAAAGAAGAGTTTTATAACCATTTGAACAATTTTGTGAACTAATAAAGCTATGAATCAACGAATATATTCCTCTTTAGTGTCTCTCTCAGATGATCGTTTTGGTTCGAACATGCATTTATTTAATGTGTATATCTGTTAAAAGTTCATTGCCAACCTTTTTGAGTCTACTATCATAAAGATGGCTTCAAAGCTAGTAAACGTGGATTATAAGTCCCCAATTTTGTTTCAATAGATGAATTTATGAGCAGGCTAAGGCTTTGGCTATACATGCTTTCACTTAACTTGGATATTAGTGATTCTGGGAAACGTGCATTATGTGACTGACGTTCTATTAAGTGCTTCAGGAAACTTAGCCCATGTTTAAATTTGTTAAGGCAACACAACACTACATGACTAAGCTGTACTTGGCATATTCATCTTTATACTACAATGGTACATTCTTGTGAGCTATCTGAAAAAAAAAATGGTGTAAGGTGTGAACGTGTAAAAAGGAATTCTATGACTAATGCTACAAGGATCTCACGGACGTTTTCAAGTATGAATCCCATGACGATCCACCCTGTTTATTATAATCAACACTGTTATATGCAGCTAAACATGTTTTATCCAGTGAGACATATCTTGAACAATCAGCCTCTATGTAGTATATCTCAGGAGAGACTGCTAAGTAATTAAACAGTATCACATATGGATTTATAATAATTTAAAGAAAAAATATTTACAATTGTATAATTTATGATTATGTAAATATATTTGAATACTGAATCATGGGTGAGTATAAGGTCGTCTTGTTAGTGTTTTATTATGGACTGGCAAATGCTTTTTACCTATGGTACAAGTGCTTAAACAGTATTAAACTGTAATCATCTATATACATTTATTTTAATTGGATCTTGCTCCATTACTAACAAACTAAATAAATAATTGAGCGTAAAGCATTAAATATGCCCATCTGCAGTGCAGGTGCCTGAGGGTTAAGATCAGCGAGTCCTAATCCATTTAGAGCAAGTCTCAACTCTCCTTTCCTTAATCCTCTCAAATCGATAGGTGCCAAAATACATATGTCTGGCATCAGCTGCTCTATAGAGCATTCGATAACTGTGCCAGTGCTCTAGTTTACATATTTTTTTACTCCCTGATTATTAAGTATCTTGTAGGATAAAAAAGACAAGGTCAATGTTTTATACAGCTGTATTTCATAGAAGAGAATAATCAATACTGTCGTCTGATATTCATCATTTCGATTAATTGACTTTTTAATTTGTATGTGGTGTATTCTTCAGTTCATAATTTTGGTTGCCTCGTCACTCCGATCCTGCTGTCAGTAATTGTCTGGTGCAACCGGTTGATGCTCGTCAAAGCAACCCACATTTAGTGAACCATTAACTATCCTAAATCGATTCATAATATTGCACATTTAGTACAACTAATCTAACTTTTGGGGTTACTGGCGTGTTTGAAAACGCCGTTAAATTGTATCGGCCTACATATGCTTAGATCTAAAAAAAAATACTTACTTTTATGATCCTTTAGTGTGTGAAAAATGTTGACAAGCTCATTCTTTCAGTTGTAACGCATAACAAATTTAACTTACTGATTATGTATTACCCCGTTAGTGTGTATGAATAAGTAATTTATAGTGCTGTCAAACGATTAATCACATACAAAAAAGTCTTTGCATAATATATGTGTGTGTGTTCTGTGTATATTTATTATGTA